CAGCACTCACACCCATAATTCCAGTGGATCCTGAGTTAATCACAAACTCTAGAAGACTGCCCCATGACTGCATGAGGCTTTGGGGGGACCACAGGGTTGGGGCTCGGCCTACCAGGTCTCCTGGCTGTCTTCAGGTTGAGGACTGGTGGCTGGACTCAGACAGACTCCCACAAGGCTGAGGGGTGTGCAGGGCTCAGTCGCTCTCATGCTGTGGAGTGTAGTCCAGGTGGTCCTCCACAATTTTCAGTTTCATTGGTGGATAACAGGATTACTTAGAATTTTTATATCTTCCTGATTTAGTTTTCACAGTTCATTCATGTCTAAGATTCTTTCCCTTTCTTCTGTGTTTTCCATCTTATTTGTGGTATACGGGAATGAAACTTCCAACCTGAAAGATACCTGGGACCACTGTGCTCTCTAAAAATCAAAGAATGAATTTTAGGAACAATGGAGGTTAAGAGCACAATATATTTATTGTGGGCAGGGCAAGAAAGCTTCTGTCCAGGAGAGGGACAGAACTGGACCCAAGTGAGTTGTCTGGGAATCTGTCTTTTCTAGGGATTTTTATAGAGCAAACCCACGAGGTGAGGAGGGTCTAAGGTGGGAAACATGAGCACTCACTAGGTGGACATGAGGTGGGATAAAACTATGTTTAACTCATACGACTACAAGCACCATTGCTCAGGCAAAGTTGATCAAATCCAGCACCAAATGGGGAAGCAAGTCATGTCGCAAGCGGACATTAACACAGAATTGGGACCTCTCCTGTAGAGGTTGGACCAGTGACTCTTCCTAGCTTCCACAAGGCGACTCTCGATTTCAGTTGCTTGTCTTTAGGGAAGTGTGCATTTGTTTGATCGTTTGTCTTGAGCTCTGGCCCAGCAGCAGCGCCCGTCTCTCGCACAGTTGCAAGGCATCTTGTCTTCTGCACTGGCTCCTGCTGAGGGCCTCGCCCTGTCTGACTGCCTACAATATTTCTAATTCAGATTCTTACAACATTGGAATATAGGTCATTATAGTAGGTATTGATGATCTTCTGGATTTCTATGCGATCCACTGTGCTCTACACTTTTGATTCCTAAGTGCTTAAATTTGTGTTTTTTCTTTCCTCTTTTTGATTAGGTTGTCTAGGGGTGTACCAGTTTCATTTATCCTCTTTTTACTTTAATATTATCTTTCCCCCCCTGAGATTCCACAAGCTAGGACAACATAAAATACTTGTCATTCTGAGTTTGGCTAATTTTATTTTATATGGTGATTTTCAGGTCCACCTATTTCCCTGAAAATAGGATTTTGTCTTCTTTGTGATTGAATAATATTCTATTTGTCTGCAGGTAACACATTTTCTTTATGAATTCATCCCCTGATGGGTACCTAGGGTGATTCTATAACTTGACTACAGTGAACTATATCCTCTACTGATACAAGGTAATCTTGTGTTTTGTTTTGTTTTGTGTTGTGTTTTAGTTCTCTTGGGCACATTCCAAAGTATAGAATTGCCTAACTTTTAGGTAAGAAATTGCTGTCTTCCAAAGTATATGTAATGGTATACACTCTCATCCAAAAGCAGATCACGGTTTTGATGAGTTGCTATCCTAACACTTATTTGTAATAATCGTCATTGTCACAGACATACTTTGTATTACTGTCATACTTTCTTCTATTATTTCTATTTTTATTCTTCAAAGACAGATTTGGTGAAAGGAATAACTTTGGAATACATTCTGCTAATGCCCTCAAACTATCTTAAATAATTTTTTGCTGTTTAGGGCTCTCCTTTCGGCCACAATTATGCTAGTGTATTTAATCAACAGTGAATGAATTCCAAAATGTGTTTATGAAAATAATACACTATACGTTATAGCATCTTTTTTGTGTATTTTAGGACAGGGCCTACAGGGTCTCCAGGGTCTCACTGCATAGATCCGACTCGTAGTGATCCTCCTGTTTACAGCCTCCCAAGTGCTGGGATTACAGGCGCGCACCACACACCCAGTCTCATTCGCCATCTCACTGCACCCTGGGGTGGGGGCGGCACAGCAGGCCCACCAATCGAACTCCTAGCCCTAGCATCTGCCTAAGCCAGCACTTTAAATGCTGAGCTATTTGGCCAGCCTCTGTTATAGCAGCTGAGAAAGTTATAATTTCTTTGTTTTGCATTTTTTCAAAAATGTCCCTGGAAAATGTATTTTCATTATAAAATTGTGTATCTGCATATTTGCCTTCAAAAATAAGCAACAATTTGACCTTGATTTTATTGACTCTAGTTGAGTTTATGGATGGCACTTTATAGCCAATATATCTTCTTAAAAAGATGTAAAACCATTTACAATTCTTACCAAGAATCTAGAGGCCTACATGAGGAAATTAACTAAACCCCCCCAAAAAAAAACAAATCCAAAAAAAAAAAAAAACAACCCACAATGGGGAACAATCATTTCTTTATCCATAAACCATTCTCATTTAATCATTTCTATTTTTTTAAAAAAATACGACATCATTGCTCCTTCTGTTACCATGGCATCAGACCAGTCTCCAAAGTCTGAAGGCTGGTTGGTCGGAACAGTCACCCCAATGCCCTGCTCCTTGCCCGGAAAGAGGAAGTGTCTAGCCTGGGAACTGAGGAAGGCACCTAGATACTACTTACAGAAGCACCCAAGAAAATGATTCCCCTTCCTGCCAGTACAAATTGTTTAGAGAGAACATGCAACCTACAAGTGTCGCCGTTGTCCTTTTGCCAGCTCAGGATACCATCCAGGATGTGGGTGACAAGGGATGAGGTGTGAATGCCTATTGCCGGCGCCACCTGCTTGCTGAAGTGACCAGCGCTTGAGACCCCCCTCCCGCCTCTCCAGCCCCCACCACGGGCCTAGCGTCGCTCTGCCATGGGGAGGAAATGAGAACTAGGACAGCTGGATCCGATTTCCAGCTCTCTGGAGCATCAAATTTGGAGCATCTTGATTTAAAATTTGGTAATAGGTTTTTATTCTACCTCTGCTAACGTTTCCTGCAACAGTTGTCAAACAAATTGAAATAAATCATTTCTGCCGCTAAGGAAGCAGAGTCGCAGTAAAGTTGCAACCCAAACTGTCATAGAATAAACATCACTACGAGCATTTGAAGTTCCAAAGGGAGACCCAGAGTAACACACCCTCAGCACTGATCCCACAGAACAAGAATCACTGAGGTGCTAGGCTGCTATGCTCACATTCTCCTGTTTTTTAAAAATTAATTTTATTTATTTTTTAATGTATTTAGGACAGGGTCTACAGGGCCTCACTATGCAGATCAGGCTCAAAGTGATGCTCCTGTTCTCAGCCTCCCAAGGGCTGCGATTGCAGGTGTGGCTGCCACGCCCAGTCTCAGTCTCCGTCGCTTCGAGCCCGGGGCGGGGCTGGCACAGCAGGCCGGGGGTCAAACCCCCGGCCACTGCATCTGCCGAAGCGGGTGCTTCAGTCCGCTGAGCTGTCTGTCTGGCCCTACAATTAATTTTATCAGAACACATTTGATATACAGAATAATCACTTTCATCATGGGGAATAGGTTCCTGCACATAATGTGCCTTCATTCTTCTTTTCCCCATTCCTCTTGCCTCCTTTCAACTTTCTTCCACTCCCGATGCACAGAAGTTTGTTTTCCAGCTTTGCCGCGTTCCCACCTTTCCCTTTTCTGGCCCTTCTTCCCTGCCCCCATTGTGTACACAAGGCACAAATGCATGATAAACACTGCTAAGTAGCAAGCAAGTGTTTCTTCCTGTTTTTCTCTTCAAAACCCTATGAAGCAGATGATATTTTGCTCTGTGTTTAAGAAAAAATTAACAAAGCAACATTGTGTTTGGTACGAACCCACACAATCTACAGATAAGGCATTCTGACATGGGGAGAAGATTTATTAGAGGTAGGAGCAAGCAGGCTGGCTGTCAGACCAAGACAGCAGCGCACAAGGCAAAGCACAGGGCTTCAAGGGGTTTTGTGGGGAGGGTGTTTGCGGGCTGGGGCACCCAAGGTAGGGTTAATGTTGGCAGGGCCGCCTGGTCTGCTGGGGGGAATTTTGATGCTTCAGGTCAGGGAGGTCCTGTGGTTCTGCCCTGGTGAAAGTCAGGAGGACTTGAGGAAGTGAGCCTCAGAATGAGGGTGAGGGTCCCAGCTAGGTTGGGGGTCCTAACTTATCACATCGCACAATGTGAACGCAGAAGCGCTGGGCATGTAAGTATCTGTATGGATCAGGGGTCCCTTGGTGTACCCTAGGGAGAAACCACTGCAGGAATGAGGAATAGACAAGAAGACAAGAGCTGGGTTTGGGTGGAGGTCTATATGCCTGATTGGCAAAGAACCGAAGAACAGGAGGGGCATTTGTTTATACCTTTGCAAAGTTAATACAGGGAGACAAAAGGTTGCCTACCAACAGGATAGCTGAAATTGACCAGGCGGGATGTTTCTCTCAAGACTGAGGTAGCTTTATTGCTTTGGGGACTCTGGCCTTGTCCTGCCCTCCCCCATATGATCAGTTTCCAGCTTCGGAGGCTCCCAACAAACATCAAGCATAAAGGGGCCAGGAGGGAAAGGAGGGAAGAAGGCGCTGCAGTCGGCCTGGGCTTCCGGGTGGGGCCCGGGGCCTGAGGAGGCCATCAGGGAAGACATTCTGTGTGGTCCTGGGCACCAGGAGAGCCTCTTCCTGTGGGAGAAGGGGAGCCAGGCAGGAAGCCTGGTGGGAGGAGGCACGGAGAAGCAGGGGCGCAGGTCCTTCCCTCGGTGCTCTGGCCATCTCTAGCTCAGGAGTCCTGCAGAGACAGAGGGGAGCAGTGTTTCCAGGCCTCGCTCCGCATGCAGCTTCTCTCCACTCTCAGGATAGCCCTGCAGTAAAAAAGTAAGTTTTCCTGAGCCAGTGCCATCTCAAGCACAGGGTTTTGTTAAGTGGGGCAAAGGAGGTTTACCACATCTGCCAGAGCGAAACATTTGGGGGACCGAGTCTGCCTGGGTGAGACTATTCAAGGACGTTACCTGTTGGTTGAACTCCAGAGTGTCCTGGAAAGGAGAGGGGAAGTAGACATTACCAGACATGGAGGCACATCTGTTCTTAACCACAGTGTCTCCAGGGTCACATCTGCCACCTGAGGTTTCCCTGACACCACAGGCCCAGCCCAAACCACGAGCATGGGTGACTGGGCAGCTTCCGCCCCGCCGTGCCCCGCCAGTGCTCTTCTTTGCCCACCACCCTCCACCCAGTGTCTCAAGGCTGGGAACCTGTCCCTGGTCTCTGCACACCGTGGCCCTTGGTTTCAAAAGCATTTCCATACACAATTGAATTCTCAGGGCATTTGAAGTAACCTGAGGGAAGAAAGCTTCGTATACTGACCCCAAAAAGCTGTTATAAGAAAATAGCTCATCTTCTGTGAGAAAAGGACTGGCTGAGTATCTTAGCCAGCAGGAGGCTTCTCACCCTTCTGGTTCCTGGAGTAGATGAACAGCCCCGAGCCGAGGAAGAGCAGCCCCAGCACGAAGCCCCCGACTCCACTCAGCATCTTGCTCTGAGCAGATCCTGACTGAGCCCCTGAGGGAAGACACCAGAGGTAGAGTTTCTGTAATCCCAAATCTGAGTGCCCTAATTGAGACTGAGATTCAGAATTTCAAGGGTATCTTCGCTAAGATTCTTGTGCAGTGAGAAGCTAGAATTGGCCTTTCTTGGGAAGAAAGATTTTAAAATCTCAGTGAGTAGGTGTGAAGCTCACGCACTGAATTCATTGAAACTTCACAGCCCAGCAGCATTCTCAGCTGTGTGCAGTGTCTGGAGCTCAGTGAGGTGGAGTAGCCGTGTAGGACGACGGAGCTCAGGACAGGCAGGGCTGAGGGTGGCCTCCTCTCCTGTCAGGAAGAATCTCCAGTGCTCCTTCTCCCAGACCACAGTGAGCGCCGGGAGGAGTGACCTCAGAAACACAGTCCCAGCAGAAGCAGGGTGTGCAGGTCAGGGCCAGGGATGAGCAGAGCAGTAATAGCTTGAGGAGGTTCAAAACAGGAACGCTGCTCTTCTGCCTGACGGGCAGTGTCTGTCAAAGACGCAAAGCATCTGTAGAAACACTCCCACTTCTGCCCCCATGAATTACACTGAAGGACGGGAGAAGATAGAACAAATAAAAGTACTGTACAGCAAGGAGAAAACTGACCCTCAGAGATGAGGGAAGACCCCTTGGGAGCAGGAGGGGAAGGTCTGAGGTCAGGGTTTCCCACTCACTCCACTCCACGGTGACAGGGCTGCTCCAGCTCGGGTGCTCCACCTGGCAGGCATAGACCTCTCCGCTCTGAGGAACAGCTTCCAGCATGACCAGGGTCTGGAAGGTCCAGTCTCCGTTCTGGATCAGGCCTGTGGACACCACCCCGGCCTCCTCCTCCTGGCCGTTCCGGAACCATCTGACTTCAACATGGCCTGGGTAGAAGCCGCTCACAGAGCAGACCAGGAGGTTGTGGTGGGGCAGGGGCTGGGTCTTTGTGGGGTACACGGTCACCTTGGGCTGAACTGGGGGCGAGAGCAGGGAGAGCCAGTCAGGAAGGCAGAGCAGCTCTTGGCTGGCTGCCTCTCTGCCCCCTTCCAGCAGCAGACCCGGGTCCCTTTTCACTTCCTCACATCTGCCTGGGCTCACAGGAGCCTCCGTCAGGAGCCTGCAAGTTAATCCTCACCGGAGGGGCCCAGAGATTTGGAAAAAGTTATGTTCTTCACAGTTTGACATGATCTTTCATTATTGAATAAAGTGACTTCAGGTTTTTCTACAGCATATGAAGTAGCCAAAAGTGTGATTGCCGAAACCAAACAGCCTGGGTTCAAATTTAGGCTCTCCCTCTGCCTGGCTAATCCCCAAACAGCAGCTTTCTAATAGGATAAAGATTCTGATTAACTAGGTAGTGTTATGTTCGAATTAAAGCAACTCAAATACGTAAAGCATGGCCTGGAATTCAGTGGCCAACGTGGATTTGTTGTTTGTTATTCCTCTACTTGCTGTGTCAAATTCGGAGTCAGAGCAGCATGGGAAACGGGAGGAGCGGTGGGGTAGGAAGGGGACACAGCACGGAATTCTGGGAGCGCAAACCAAGAACCTCTGACCCAGAAGACACCTAAACGACAGGCTCTTTACACGGAAGTTCTGATTGCAGTGATGCACAAAAAAGTATCACACAAATCCAAATAAAGAGTTCTTCCTTAAATAGAAAGTGACAAGACATGGGGCCGGGGAGATGGCTCAGTGGAGTAAGCGCTTCCTTGGCAAGCGCAAGGGCCTGAGTTCAATCCCCGGTTCCGCAAAAAAAAAAAAAAAAAAAAAAAAAAAAAAAAGAAAGTGTTAGGCTCTCATCCCGCCCAGAAAACGTCCTGGAGGCATCAGATAGAAGAAAGCGGAAGTCATGCAGCTGAAATCTCTGAAATAAAGCAAATGAAATAATGAAACAACTGGAGAAGGGGACGGAGCAAAGCAGACCAGAAATAGCCTCCCACATAAAAAAAGAAATGATAGTTATGACGAAAGAATTACTAAGCATTTCTAAAGAGGCATTGATTTAAAAAAAATAGAAGAGAACAGAAAAATGAAGGAAATCCTGAATGAAAAATATAGGAAAGAGGGGCCGGGGAGATGGCTCAGTGGAATAAGCACTTCTCTGGCAAGTGCAAGGGCCTGAGTTCAATCCCCGGTTCCGCAAAAAAA